AAACGCCTTGCATGTTGACCCGCAGGTGTTTTATCAGCTCTGATTACAATTTTGTGGTTATCAGATGGCATCAGATCCAGTGCAGTTTTAAACAATATAATCAATTGATTGTGTTCATGAAATAAAGTTTGTAATTGTTCTACAATAGACCTCTTTACTAAATTGTTATGTGCACAACGCAGATTAATTTCTTGTGGTGAATTGCCCATAAAATAGATTTGCAGGAATTTGTAGTTGCTATCTGACACTGGTAACAGTGAACCTGCTCTGTAATATATTTGGCCTTGTATCTGTAAATTAAAAAAAAAATATTATGTTTGTACCAAACACTATAAAATAAAATAAAATAAATAAGCAATTTGGGGTATAAATTTTAATTTATTTATTTTATTTTAATTTTAAATAATAAAAGCGTCACTAAAACTGAATCGCCAAATAATATAATAACTAAGTGATGATTATGATCTTAATCATTAAGAAATTGAAGATTAGTGACACATCTTAACTTAAGTGACAGAAAATATTGTTCGCTAAAATAATTATGATTAACTGCTATAATACATACCTTGAAAGTGGGCATACAATTTTCCCGAACTACATTTGTTGCCCCAAATGAAGTCATTTGAAAGCAATTGTTATATTGTTGGATATTTGTCAAAAAGTGTATGGAATCTGTTCCTATTCCTGAAACCAATGAGTACAATGGCTCTGGTGGTGGATCCAATGGATTCAATGGTATCACTTTACCATTTGCGCAACACAATCCATTAGCTTCGGTTTTGTATTTCAATGCCTTACAATGTGAGCAAACCGAGTTCATAGAACCAATAACAACACATTGGTAGTTACTGTAGTCAATTGACACATCGTAACTGAAAGCAGCTCGATTCAAACTTGCGCGATTATTAGTTGAATGTCGCGCTCGCGCTTCACGCGTTTGTGATATCCGAATTCTTTCACGTTCATTTCGGTCGTCACGTTCTTGTGCAGTATGATTAGATCGGTAATTAGCTTGGTTTGTAGCATTTCGGGATCTTCTATATAAATTGCTTCGTCTTATAGGAGGCATATCTATAATATTAATTATTGTGTCACATGCAATAATTAATGATCATAGGTAACTGAACACTCTGCACAAAACACGATATACGAATTTGTTTCGTGTATCAGTTGACAAAAGCAAACTCAGTAGAATATGTAACAGAAAATCCAAGAAAAACAGCACTTGTACACGGCAAATCGACATCGACAGTTTGTTGTTGTTTCAATCAATTTTAAATTTTTTTTTGATTTGATATGACTTGGAGTCAAATCCTTCAATAAAAACTTTTCCTTCAATAAAACACTTTTGGTAACGCGGTTTGTGATTGTGACTGATGTAATGACGTGAGAACTGATGCATTTTAAAGTAAAACAAAAGAAATAGTTAATATCACGAAGCCGACCAAATTGAAAATCATTACTAATGATCTATTACATTTTGTTTGTGCCTATTCAATTTGGTCGGCGATATCACTTTTGTGGAGTTTCGGAACGCGACATTAAATCCTCCAACGATGTATTCTGTGAATATACTCTTCAGATCGAAGTTTGGTCTGATTCAACCTGATGAATGTTAATCTCTCCGTTTCAATTTTAACATACATGCCAACAACATATTTGTGATATAATCGCCGACATTTCAATATGTGATTGTCTTCATTTTCCCGAATCATTCAGTTTGTTGTTGTTTCAATCAATTTTCAATTTTTTTTTGATTTGATATGACTTGGAGTCAAATCCTTCAATAAAAACTTTTCCTTCAATAAAACACTTTTCCTTCAATAAAACACTTTTGGTAACGCGGTTTGTGATTGTGACTGATGAAATGACGTGAGAACTGATGCATTTTAAAGTAAAACAAAAGAAATAGTTAATATCACGAAGCCGACCAAATTGAAAATCAGTACTAATGATCTATTACATTTTGTTTGTGACTATTCAATTTGGTCGGCGATATCACTTTTGTGGAGTTTCGGAACGCGACATTAAATCCTCCAACGATGTATTCTGTGCTCTAACGCACACACGCACACTGTTTTGATAGATATGATTGAATTTGAACTTTGTATAGCGGTAATAAAGTGCAAATTGACTCTTTGACGTTAGGAACACACCTAGATTGCTTAGGTAACAGTGAGTGCTTGTAATTTAGTATGAACTTTATACAATAGCAATAAAGCTCAAATTGACTCTACGTTTTAGTTAGAAAACGTTTGTATGGGAAAAAGGAAAGGGCTGTTTTTAGGGTTTTTTCCGGCAATTATTCGAATTTTTCTCACCGTAAATACCATCCTTGAACTTCTACGAACAGTTAAAAAAAAGAATTGGCCAAATTGGTCCAGGCGTTGTTGAGTTATGCGCTTACCAACACATTTTGCGATTCATTTTTATATTATAGACTAGCAAACCCGGCGAACTCCGTTTCGCCACCAGCGGCGGCCGATGTTCACACGTCGTCCTCTCGGCATTTAGGACTTTGGACAGACAGGTGAATTTAACCTCGAATGCACGATCCAAATCATTTGCACAGTTCAACTTACCACCTTAAGGACAAATGCCTGCTGTTGAAGTTGAATAAAAATTTGCACAATACGCGTAACTGACTTGATGGTTTCCAATTTAACTATTAGGAAAAGAAGAACTTAACCTCAATGTCACAATTTCACTATGGAGAGACTGGTGAATTTAACCTCAAATGCACGATCCAAATAATTTGCACAGTTCAAGTAAGGACAAATGCCTGCCGTTGAAGTTGAATAAAAATTTGCACAATACACGTAATTGATTTGATGGTTTCCAATTTAACTGTTAGGAAACGAAGAACTTAACCTCAATGTCACAATTTCACTATGAAGAGACTGGTGAATTTAACCTCAAATGAACGATCCAAATAATTTCCACAGTCCAACTTACCTCCTTAAGGACAAATGCCTGCTGTTGAAGTTGAATAAAAGTTTGCACAATACGCGTAACTGATTTGATGGTTTCCAATTTAACTGTTAGGAAACGAAGAAGTTAACCTCAATGTCACAATTTCACTATGGAGAGACTGGTGAATTTAA